CACGGCTCCCGAGGCCGTCGGCATGAACGTATTTGTCTTCGCTGCCTTTTGCGCCTCAACGAAGCAGCGTAAAAGTGAGCGCGGCTATTTATTACGGACGCTGCCTTCATGAAGGCCGCCCTGTGGACTCAATGCAACACCGAAACATTAATTACGAGCCTACACGCTACTGGCCTACATGCTACTGGCCTACACGCAACTGGCCTACATGCTACTGGCCTACACGCAACTGGCCTACACGTTGCTGGCCTACACGCTACTTGCCTACACGCTACTGGCCTACACCTGTCTCTTATACACATCTAGATGTGTATAAGAGACAGGTACTGGCCTTCACGCTACTAGCCTACACGCTACTGGCCTACACGCTACTGGGCTTCACTCTACTGGCCTTCACGCTACTAGCCTACACGCTAACGGCCTACACGCTACTTGCCTACACGCTACTGGCCTTCACTCTACTGGCCTTCACTCTACTGGCCTTCACGCTACTAGCCTACACCTTACCTTATGACCTTATGATGAGTTCGGGACTTCCTAGTCCCCGGTCACGCTGATGCGCCGCCTTCGTCGTCCTCCGTCTCCGAGTCGTCGTCGGATGTAACGTTGGACGTGTTCCGTCTATTTGCCCTCATTTGGGCACGCTGATGCAAGATGCTGTTGCTTGTCACTTGCTGATGGTAGTTTCCCATTACTGGACAGTCTGGTATCTTTCTCAACCACTTGTCCAGTTGTCTCTTGAATGTTGCAAGGGTGAACTCCCCTCCTCTCAGCGCTTTTGACAAGGCATTAAAGAGCCTCGGTCCTACCACGGACAGTGATCCCTCACGAAGAGTCTGTACTCTGGCCGTGGCTCGGTTATTAAATGGCCTACACGCTACTGGCCTACACGCTACCGGCCTATACGATACTGGCCTACACGCTACTGTCCTGCACGCTATTGGCCTACACGCTCCTGGCCTATACGCTATCGGCATACACGCTATCGGCTTTCACGCTACTGGCCTACACGCTACCGGCCTACACGCTACCGGTCTACACGCTACTGGCCTATACGCTATTGGCCTACACGCTACTATCCTATACGCTACTGGCCTACACGCTACTTGCCTTCACGCTACTGGCCTTCACGCTACTAGCCTACACGCGTCCGGTCTACACGCTACTGTCCTACACACTACTGGCCTACACGCTACTGTCCTACACGCTACTGTCCTACACGCTACTAGCCTATACGCTACTGGCCTACACGCTACTGGCCTTCACGCTACTAGATTTGTGGCGGATCATGGCTCGGTACTAATGCGCACTCGAGTTAAAATACAAGTCTGTCAGCAAGCTTGTCATTGTCATTCTTCAAATTATTGATGTAAGCATTAACTATCTTTAACCAGTTCTGAACAAAATTAATACGAGTAAATTACTTTTCATCGCTTTCCATAGTGACATAAGAGGTTTTCTAACAGAATTCCGTATTGCAGTCATCACTATTTCCCATTCAATTTCCTGTTAATCCAGTTTTATTTTCGCCATCAACACCGTTACTCTTCATGGACAATCTAAAATCGTCCCTCATCACCTCTCAACTGCCCTCTCTCCATCGCAGCCTCTCACCAGCCAAGCACTGCCCGTTGTAACACCAAACTTTGGGTCGTTGTTGCCGGCAGGACGACATTGTTGCGGATGGTCACTGCACACTGAGCTGTGAACTTCTGCACTACAATACCTCATATTGTACTCTAATTTCTCACATGCCGCCATAGGTGGTGTGAGGAACGCCTGCACTATAATACTTCATATTGAACTCTTATTTCTCACGTGCCACCATAGCTTGTGTGAAGAACGATGGCACTGCAGAAGAGTCTGCGCTGGAACCGAGGCTTTGCTGTACTCAAGTAAAAAACGTGTACAGAAATAATGTACTGTGTTTTTTTCCACTGTCTGCCACCTCTGCGACCACATTTGTAGCGTCCTCACGCACCAGCATTTTTTCTCTTGACAGTCGTGCAGCTCCTGTGAAATGAAAATTGATCTCCTAAAATAATTTTCATCTCATTATAGAATTACATCCCCGATTATGATGAATTGCCACAATATAAAGTTTCCATAAACGAAGAATATATTTAAATTATCATGTGTCATAATTGTACATATATCATTCAAAAAATCTGTTTCATTTGATCTAAATTTCCCTATCAAATCTAAAGGAGAATACCCAATATGTTCCTCTAACTTTCTGAAAAGTGCGTCAAAAGGAACATCTGGTGTGAATAAAAATCTATATAAATCTATATACAAATCTATATACATGCAGCCATTCTCTAATGCCAAGGAATGATCACGTTCCAAATTAATTGAACGATTCTTTCTTAACTAAGAATCGTGGACGTGACATTTTATCGAGTGCGAGAAAGGAGCTCCGTCCAGTCCAATCAAGTTGGCCAATATCAAGACGAAAACTCTGCTGAAATTGTGGTTCTTTGTTCCCTATAAAGCATTCCCCTCCGAGCCTTCGAGTCGCGCAGGAGCTTGATACCTCGATTGAATTCGACGAATTTGTTTTAAAGCGAACGAAAGCGACTTTGTTAAATCTGTTACACAGAAAAACCAATCTGTGTCACTTTCTCGAATTACTCTAGACGATCGTAAGGTCTCTGGACCATAAAATTTACTTTAGTGACAGAATTATTTGAAATTCCGATTTATATAGCTTATCTTTGAAAAACGTCAACTGTGAACGATGATTTTCATCTGCAGAAACTTAAGATCTTAAATTCCAATAGCAAGATAAATCAACTTTCGACATTTCTCCCTTCACATTATAAAACAAATCTGTTCGTTCACCAGGTTCACTTGGCTTCATGGCAAACTCATCATGACAGGTTATTCGTGAACTTAAGTATTGTATTCCATACGCGTAATTGGAATGAGAGTTTAATAAACACCCAGTAAAATGGATGGGTCATAATGTCCAAATAGTGACACACTTTTTACCTGTAGCACTGATACGCTCTGTTCCCGAGGAAAACTGGGTTTGGATGACTTACACACGGGCAAAAAGTGCATCTTTATTTGGCCATGTGTCACTCATAACTCTGAGTGGAGGCCTCAAAAGACTTCATTGTTCTTCATAAGTGTTTGCACGAAGCCTGGTGCCTGTCCTCGCCTTGTTCTTTAGATGCCGTATAATTGAGTCGCTGTACGCCCTCTTGTCTACTGAAGCGGAGGGACCATTTCAGGGACGCGTGTTTGAGGGACGTGTGTTTGAGGGACGCGTGTTTGAGGGACGCGCGTTTGAGGGACGCGCGTATGAGGGACGCGCGTTTGAGGGACGCGCGTTTGAGGGACGCGCGTTTGAGGGACGCGTGTTTGAGGGACGTGCGTTTGAGGGACGCGTTTTAGGGACGCGCGTTCGCTCACCAGCTCGATATTTCTGTATGTACATGAATAAAGTGAACACAATGCCGGCAATTCTCATCCAATTATAACAAACATATATACAACCTCAACTACCCACTCATAATCACTTTGTTTTTCAATTTTTTATGTTTGTTATAATTCCGTTGTGAATTTATTAGAAGATCCAACTGGCCGCAACACTAGCACCTCGTGCAGTGCACATGAGTTTCATGGCTAATACGATACCTAATTTATTGCAGATGCAGAATAAGAATACATGATACTTAATAAACTCGCTTTTTTCTTTCCATGATGAATTTCGCAGAAATTTAAGAAATTCATGTCCCGATTTACCAGCTTCGTTGCTGTGAAGCGGTTTTAATGGGTAATTAGGATTAAATAAAGGCTAGTTATATTTGCATCATCATATAATTTCGACGCTTCCTTCGATTTGCAACTTGATTCAGCCATCATATCAATTCGGGTCTACGTGGCATTCGGACTTACTCTTCGATTGTTCAGTCCGGGAATGAAGCAAATTCTAGCTGAACGTATGTTCTTTTTAAAGAGTATTTATATCGTCATTTATTTTCAACGGTATATTTGCGACAATCGAGTGAAGCCTCTTCAAATTTTATTTATTATTCACAATAAAATTGATTTTTAGTCATTCGCGTTACGATTGCCTTGAACAATTCCATTTAAATTTTAAATAAAAATTTGTCTCACTAAACATAAATAATATGCCTTTATTCGCGAGAATAACTGCCGCTCTTTGCTGAAATTATCCGCTAAAAACTTTCGACTTTTGAACGTAAAACTAGTTTTTTATGAAGATAGGAAGCTTTTCTTCATTAAGGGTTGATTTAAACCTGAAAATGTCTGATTGCTTCGCCTCTCAAGTCATAAACCAAAGTTTTTATCCAAGTGAATAAGAATTCTTGAATCAAACTATGCTGCAGGCGTCGACGTGTTCGGCAGGAAATTTATCGGTTCTTGCTTTGGCTTAGTAAATTTAGACGAATTTTATTTCGCACATTGCAGTCGTTCTTGGTGATTAAAAGCAGTAAAAGTTCTCCCAATATATAAAAATGGCACGTTGGGGAATTTCGAATTTCGGACGAATGGCGATGCGGACTTAAGGGCTTACGTGAGAGGAAATTCGGTGATCATTAACATCGGAAATTGAGACACTGTGGATATTTGAATAAACTTCGAGCTACTTTCAAAAAAGGATTTAAATCTCATTATAATAATGAGCGCTGGAGACATGTTTTTGTGAGATTTACGGGAACGATGAACTGAAGCGCACCAACGAAATTTAAAGGGACAAAATTGTACATTTCGGCTAAAAATTTTCCTGACAAATAAATTTTGATCTCATGAATGATTTCATACAAAACCATTAAACAAATATGTTACTTAAAATAAGATTTCAGATAATTTCATACCAAAATAATGTCCAGGCAAAATCCACTCAAATAAAACACGAACTTTTGTTTAGTTAAACATTTAAAAAATCAACCAAAGCAGAATGACCAAATATTTAGACTGGCAGTTGAAACGAACATATAGATTGGGAATTAAAGCAAACATTTAGATTTGTTCTATTTATTTAGCAACAAAACGAAGGATCTTGGTAATAAGTTCCAAAGTTTCAATAATAATGACATTCTGTGCCCCCATTAACCTTTTAATTGCAACCTTTTCGACTATTTCTTGTAAAGCGTAAAAGTAAAGTAATTTACCGCATGATGTGCATGCGGTAAATTATTTATGATTTTTATAATATAAAGAGACTCGATCGAAGCTTGTATAATTAAGTTTTAAAGTCGCTTGCGTGCGTGAGTGTTGTAATAATAAAGTGCAATAACATCGCCCGATTTGAGCAACATAATAAGAATACATCACAATTTCACTGTTAAAGGCCAAAATTTGAAGGATAGCGACAATAAAAGTCACCAAACCATCATAATTCAGCAAATTCAAAGATGCCTGCACAGGTTTTATACATTCTGAGTACATATTAACCTGAGAATTAACTGTTCAGTGATATTCTTAGATTAATCTCACTCCATATTTCAATAAATGCCTTTTGAACAATTAATAAATGCACAATGAATGAGAACAAGCGAATTCATTTCGTACGTTCCACTCGAGTGAGTGGATATATTGACAAGAATAGATTTGTCGTCATACTATGGAGTATGAATAAAACTCTCGAGCTTTAATTGAAAGTATTAAAATAATTTTCATGGAATGGATGTTCAGTTAATCCGCAAACTTTCATATTAAATATCACAATTTTCCTGATAAATTTTTAATTAAATTTCAAAATAGGTTAACTTACGTTTGCATATTTCCTGCCATGAACAACTGAATCGAATATATAAAATCTACAGACGACTTAATCGCTAATTTCTTCTCCAACCGATGTTGCGATGGATGCAAGCTTTGGCTCAGCATTTATCCTTTAATAATACTTACGATTGAGATAAATACACCATCGATACACAATTAGTAATCACACATATATTTTCAAGAGAATCCTTAGTTTAAATTCACAATCGTACAAAATCAAAACCACAAATAGAATTATTTTTTTCAACTACATCAACAATATTCGTCGTACTTTTGTAACTAAATAGACAGTCTTTCTCGTGTTCCTCCACACAGTAACTCGGACAAGTTTCGAACTCAGATGCAATCTGCGCGTAAAAATTGGACGCGTGATTTTCTCAGGAGATGACACGGGCGGCTCGTGAATAGAGGCAAGCTGTGGACACGACGCAAGTTCTTCGCGTCATCAAAGTCAACATTAATATCAGCGTCGTTGGCAGGGAAGCTCGTCTTCATATCCTGAAGATTGCAATGACTTCCAGAATTAAATTTAAATGTATTTGAGTGTATGAAGTCGTACGTCACTCGAGACACAGGAAGTTTGACATCAAATTCGCGTAGCGCACGCGAACTGTCATCTTTATTCCAGTTATTTGGTAGACGTGCTTCATCTTTACTCTGAGTAATACGACGCGAAAACATTCGCGTGAAAATGCTTGACAAACTTAAATGAATTATACTTTCATCACATACTTGAGCAAATTCATTGTGGTTCGTAGAGTAAAAATTAACTTCATTAGTAAAAAGCGTATCCAAAGTCCAATTATTCCGTGAACTCATTCCGAGCATAAATAGAAGCTTTGAAGTTAAGCAGGAAATGCAATCAAACCCCAGCAGTCCGCCCCTGCAGTGCACCACCACCAGCGCCCACATCACCAGCACCGACAACAGGCCGGGCGACACGCGCGCCGATAGCGAATCGTTCGTCGAGTGCTGCATTGCCACTGAATCTTCTCCTGCCAAATATGCAACAAAATATTACCAATTAACAACAAAATGTGAGCGAAATTAGCGTATAGTCATGCTTTGTATTCAAAAATGAACTTATACGCTATTGTTCCTCTTGGTTTCTTTGGATTGTGCTCTTGAAATATATTTTATAGTCTATTGGTGTCGTTAGGTCGTGACTCTTGAGGAAAAATTGAAATAAATTCAGCTAGGGAATTTCTGAAATAGCATTGGCCTCTAACAGAAGTGTAATATATAATAATTTATTTTTATTGTTTTCTATTAGCCTCTAGATTCATGTATGTCAGCTCTTTCATCAGAGTTTTAATAAGCACGAGTGTTATTTCGCTCACCTTCCACAACGTGTACTCGGACGTACGCCGGTTTGGTGTCTGTGGCCGAGCAGCTGTAGTTGCCGGAGTCGCTCTTGGACGCGGCGGCGATCTTTAGCAGCACCACGGGACTGCCTTCACTGCCTTCGTTCTCTGACCAGCTGGCGAGTTAGATATTCAAATTAAGGAAATTTTTTAAGAACGCCTGAGATGAAGAAAGTCTACTCTCTTCAACAAACGGAGATGAAATGAAAAGGGAAGTTTGTTTACTTCTTAATACTGTTATTTTCAATTGAAATATTGAAGAAAATAGATAATTATTTAGGATTTGAGCTTAAGTAAATTACAAAACTACGTGCATTATCAAATTTAAACGTCGCAATTTTTTCTAGATGTTGCTGATAACATTTACATTAATCGCGATACATCATTGTCAATACAAGTACAATAAAAAATCACTTCTCATGAATATTTTTTTGCATACGGATCATATTACAGAAACATGTACAAGTGCAGAGAACCTGGTGTTGGTGCTGGTGACGTCATCGCCGAGGACGGTGAAGCGGTTGCCCGCGTCCATCTTAGACCAGAAGGGCAGCGCGTCGGGCGGCAGCGCGTGGCCGCGACACTGGAGCTCCACGCGAGACCCAACCTCGTAGAACTTCTCGTGGATGGCCGTGTTACGGTCGTCCATGATGCTCACCACCGGCACTGACGTAGAAACAAATGCTATTATTTACTTTAAATTATATTCTATTTTTAGAAATTTTGTTTATGAAGACAGAATTTCTTGTGTGTATTTCAGTAATTTAGCGCTTGTTATCTTCAATTTTAGCAGTATATTATCGATGGAAAGAAACAACCAACATATACCAAGGTACATATACATAACACAAATTGAATGAGAACATAAAGGCTGTGAAGCGCAGGGAGTAAACTATTTTTCATAACATCGATAAAAATCTAAAATCCTTCAAAAAACGCATTTTACAAACTAGAGTATGAAATGAATGGTATATATCGCCGAAGAAATGCCTTTCGTATTATCTTTTGCCGCATTAAATCGTGGAAAAATTTGCAGGGATTTTTAAAAATGAGCAGGAAAGAGACATGAAACACACTGAAAATTTTGCGAGTGAATTTCTATTCGATAATGCTATCAGTTACAAAATGATTGTCAAGAAGTTCTTTAAATCATTAAGACATTCGCCCAAGTTGAGAAAATTCATGTTTGAATAATGCTGTGTGCATGCAATAGAGTTCGAGTATATAATTTGTTTTTATAATTGCTGGAGTAACTTACTATCAAATGGGTAACCATGCAATTAAACGTAGATATCAATCCAGAATTCTAGACTTATCATTTAACGGTTTAGTTTATCTTGCTTGTTGATAGTAAGCATAAATATTATAAATTCGACGAAATTGTAAAATTTTAACTTTAATCAAGTTTTGATTTATTCACATTTCGGAGATTATAAAAATCCCTGCCGTAAAACTGTTCACTTGATTTGTTAGAATTTCTCAAAGTGTCTGCACATTCAAATTATTTTGTCTCATTACTGGCGAATAGTAAATGTAAGAGTATTTTTTACTAAATTTTCTGATCATATTTATTTATGTATATAATTTAAAGTCTTCACATAACACCCAATTGAAAACTTTACAATATTTACGACAAATTACAGAATTACCTGTTACGTAGAGCCGTATGCTAATTTTCATGGGCGGGTGAATGGAGACTTGGCACACGTAGACACCGGCGTCCTCCTCCAGCACGGGTGAGATGACGAGCTCCCACGAGTCAGGGTTGTCGTGGAACAGTGAAAACCTTAACCGGGAAAAAAACTATTAAGATAATGCGGGGTATTTTACCGTAATATAAAATTCTAAGCTAATATGCAGGTATATTAACGTAATATAAAGTTCTAGGCTAAAATGCAAATATATATTAGTCTGATAAAGAACTTAAGCTATAGGCTTACATGCAAATAAGTGAACCGTACTTAAAAGTTCTAAACATAAAAGCAAACATATGAGCCGTAATAAAATGGTTCTTGACAAATATTTATGAATAATAATGAAGACTTTTTGAGTGGCTAAAATGAGGCAATAAATACGGTCATAAGTAGCAGTGGCTCCCTAACTGAGGAGAAATTATCCCCGGTTATTTTTCTATTTATCTCGGCGGCAGTCCAAGATTGAAAGGTTTAATTTAGCCTAATACATCGACGATAAAATTCGCAGAAGTGTCAAATTATTATTGTGGCATGTCAAATTACGTATTTCGATGCAAGTTTTGTAAACAATTTTTTTAAAAATGCAAATATTAGTTGCGATTTTAGGAAACAAGCCAACTAATTGCAGAGAACTTGTGTGACTATATCAGACCTCTTGCTGTTGACGTAGGTGTTGGTGCCAAATGTTATGAGATGAAGCTGGTCGTCCTCTCGCTTCACCCACGACACCTAAAACAAGTACCATTAATTGAGTTAAACAAAAATATTTTCACGCATTATAGGATTTAAAGGCACAAAAGGATGATTTGTTTGAAAATCTAAATATTCTACAAATAGTCTATTAAAATAATTTATACTTTCCAGATCAATGATGATCCCTGCTGTTTATCTCCATAAAGGCATGTGATTATGTTTCAAAACCCACTAAGGTTATATTTTGCTAAAAATAGAATTTAAAATAGAAAAGTAACATTATTAATAAACAAAAAATGTCAATTATCAGGCATAAAATTTGTCGAGACTAACCTACAACAAATGTAATATACCAGACCGTGTGCTAATACTTTACTTTTACATTCCCATTCCCCATTCCCCATTCTCACAAATTAAAAATGTATCGGAGATTCCAGTTTTCACCCTAGAGTTTTGAATATTTTATAAACAAATATAAATAAATAAAGTGTTGAAATGCTTAACCGAATGAATGCACGTCACGATAACACACGTTAAATGGGCATCAAAATTATCTGTATTACTGTAAAATGCACGACACATTGCACTCTACCATCAAACATCTTAAATAATATCACAAAGTTCTAATTAGCGTTTGAATATGACCTCAAAGTTTAATAAACAAAGCGTTTTGTGGTCGAGGCTGAAACGAAAAATATTAAAAAGCAAATTTTCGTAATCGATCAACGCTAAACTTGATACTTTACTATTTATAAATAATGTTTTAGAAAATATAGTATGCATTATGATATTTATTATTCCTTAGTACTCTACAGTCCTTATCAAGGAGAGCACTTTACATCCAGGCTAACTTATGATAATTATTGCCGTAACAGTAAATGGCTTTAAAAAAGTTTAAGTGTGTGAAGAAAATGAAGACTTTCTAATTTCCTTAAAGCGCAATGTCACTGCCATCGAAGGCGACAAATTCACTATTAATTAACTATAGAATTTGTGCCAAAAAAAGTTTCAATAGAAATTCACGGAACAGCGATCCATCAAAATATTTGCATTTTAAGCTACATCCTTCCTAGAGAATCTGCGTTTTTAGGCAAAAAATCCGTGGTATGATCTTCAATGGAGTTGATGGATACAGGCATTTTTTTTAAACTCATCCATCGTGCCAAACTTCTTTGATATGCTGAAATAATTGTGTGAAAGAAAGGGTTTAAATTTCGTAACACAATTAAGACTGAATTCTTCACAGCAGTCCACTAATCCTACAATCACTCAATGTTCTTCCACAGCCCATCATTCAAAACATTTTACTTTCAGAAAATAATCATTGTTCCGCGATTTTTTGACAGTTCAATTGACGTTGTTTCAAAGCACTTTCCCTCATGAATGTCCTTTCATTTTGCGTCTGTAGCCTGCAGCAGCACTGTGAAGGAGAACATGTAGCATAGTTAACTTTTCCTTGCTTGAGGCTATGCGCCGCCAACGCAATACGAGCCGAGACAAGTAAGGCTCTTAAGAATTCAGCAATGAACTCGAAAGAGCTACTCTAGGCACCAGCCATTCTAGACCACCAGCGCGTCTTCAAAGGGGACTAAGACCTCTCCGAGGCTCTATGAAAAGTTTTCATGTGAGCTACAAACATGTGTAACTGTCGTCAAAACATCCCTCTCTTTAGAAATGCTGGGAAGACATCATGGAGGCAACGACTATTATTCTACGATTGTCATGGCTCCTGGAATGTGACCGAATGCATCGGAATTATAATGCATATTGTTTCCCTTGTGACGGATGCGGTGAACTAAGAAACGGTATTTTTTATATCCAGCCAAGTCTTCTCGCTTGGCTCCCTGGAAACTTCTCTTTGCACTTCAATTTTTATGAAGTTAGCGGTTGAAAAAAGCAATTAGTAAGTAGTAATTAGCCAAACAATTTTTAAAAAGACCTTTACCCCAAGACGAAGGTAAATTATGTCCATTAAATAATAAATCGGAGCTTAAATTTGCTTTGGTATCGAAATATTCCTCAAGGACAAAAAGTATCAGCCTAGGAGCGAACAGAGGTGCAGGCAAATAGATGGAAATAAGCATCGGGTGGACGTAAACTGTTCCATAAACAATGCCTAAATCTCTCCTCTGCTGGCTCAATGCCCGCTCAAGTCTTAACGGCTTACCAAAAATGCTCGTCGTGGCAGCAGCGAAGGAGCCTTCAGCGTGCGAGAGCCTCCGTGAATATTTCCCTCTTGCTAACATTGAACTCAAAAATCGTGTGACATAAATCGTCATACTATATATTTGCATTAAATTTAAACAACGTAAAAATATTATCATTACTGAGTGAACTGCAGAAAGCTGAGCTAATCACAACAAGACACCATCGATATTTTTCTACCTACTATTTGATTAAGAATTATTTCAGGAAAGTTTTCACACACTCTATATTATTTGGCATAGATCTCTAAATACAGTGCAATTTTTTCGTTGAACTCAGGAGAACCTGATGAAATTCGATTTGCTTCTGCTGTGCACTCAAGCTCTGCAGGTTTTAATGACTGCCCTGTAATGTTATTAAGTTCTATTCTTTAATTTAATCGTGTTTGCCTATGAAATATTTCCATCCTATCTGATTGTCATTCTTCAACAAGGAATGTGGAATATTGCTGCACTTCACACAATTTCAAGAGTTTCACCATTATTTTATGAAATGCAAGTTGTACACAAACATCACTAATTTTGTCTGCTAATGAAATGTATACACTATTGAGACATGCGAATACAAAAACGTACCATTGTACTCACAATCGTGTCACTCAACACTGTCACTCAACACTGTCACGCAACACTGTCACTCAACACTGTCACTCAACACTGTCACTCAACACTGTCACACCACGCCCCGCGGTCACGGTGATGGAGGCGTTGGCGGTAGAGTCAGGGAAGTGTGGCAGCGTCTCAGGGTCTGGCGTGGTGGACGTTGGCTCAGGGGTTGTGGTCGGCATGTCGATGCTCGGTGCAAAGCTCCGGCCTCCACCTACTGCATTAGTATGCCATGAAATTATTTAATTATTCTACATACATTATTATTTTATTATCCTTATTTTATTGGTATTATTATTATGATTATTATTATTATTATATTATTATTCATTATTAATATTATTATTTATATAATTATTATTATTATTATTATTATTATACGCGCAAGTTATAATTTTTCAGTACCAGTCATTGCAAAATGTCAGCTATCACTAGACATGAGGCTTGGATATGAAAATACTTCTAGTTTTTTTAAATCTGAATAGTATTATAGTGGGTCCTGAGAATATACAATGCTTAACAGTGCGACGAGATGTAGAAGTTCATAAAGCCTATGAAGTTTTCCGCGTCATTCCGTTAATTCCATTGAAATTATAAGCTAATTATTCGTTGGAATATAGAATATAAATAATATTAATACTTGAATAAGAGGTTATTCAACTCTCAAAAAGAGTGACAAAAACTATAGACTTGCTGAAATTTTTAAACGTTGAGGAACTCATAATAAATTCAAGTTGAGTGTGGTCATAGAAACAGAAAAATATTAAAAACATATTGATAGGCTGCTCCAAATATACCAATTTAAAACATAATATCAATTAGTATGTGAGTTTGTTTACAATTTGGAAGCTGCATAGGCACTAGTGCCATCCACCGCAACATGTATATTGCCACTCTAAGTCAATATTAAATACTCTTTCCCGCGAAGAAATATAATTTATCGAGGGATTATTGCGTAAACAGTGTGTACAGGACTCCTCACGAGTCGTGTCACACGTATGTCATTTTTTAATATTCATCGAGGGATTATTGAGAAAGACATGTCTGTGACTTGAATATTATAAGATAATAATCAGCTATGTCATTTTTAATTCAGTTTGATGACAAATGCGTACTCACCGATCAATGATGCTAGCAAAAATGCAATGAGAAGGGCCTTGTTAACCATGGTTACTTTGAATTGAAGTTTAGTTTAAAGCGTAATCGAGTTCCCTGTAAAATAAATGCGTATTTAGTTAGAGTCATCTCTGTTGAAACTAATACCTTCTATGGAAGTATCCGCGCAAAACTCTCTTCTAGAAGCTAAACCTTTTGATATGTGACTTGAAATTCAAGGGCACTTAACAGACGGGTAAACTCTACGGTTTTCAAAACCAATATTTAATTTGCTCATAGGTTCCTACCGGACGCCCCGGAATTTTATATAATTAGCACAGAGCTTCCTTGCTCAGGTTTGCGGGACCCAAATAAACGAGCGCGTATAGAATTTTGAGATAACATCTATACAATATTGACATGAATAGTGCAATTATTATATATGAACTGACGTCTTTTCATAAGTGCATTTAAGTGTATTCGGTATTTGGCTTACTGATTTGAGAATTTTTCTTTAATGGAAGATGAAATTTAATTTAGGTAATATCTTGATTTGTGGTGCCATTTTTTAAACACACACACTCACACATATAAATTTTAACGAATATGCATAAGATTTGAAGTGCAAAACGGTGATTGAAATGTGCGAATAATTTTCGGGCATAGATTTGAATCAGTTGTTGAAAGACTTCTCTCATTCTTACATATATACTTTTTTATGCTAAAGAAAGTATGCATTTACCTACGAATTTACCATAAACTCTTTCAAATATCAAAGCGATTCGGTACAAGCTGAAATCGGTACAAATTGATTCGGTTTGTTTGAAGTGCCGATTCGGTACAAGCTGCAAACAAACTTTTAACTCCGAATGTAATACCTCGAAGCGCTGAGTCTCCCAGATATTACATTTAGACCATCATTCTGCATTTTCAAGTAGCTTTTAACAATAATGTATATTTAAAATGTATTTCAATTCATTGTAATGTAATTATTAAATTTGTTTCAGTGTTCCGGTCGTAGGTATAGTATAGATAAGATCTCAAGGGACGTAGCATTAATTCGATCTATAAGCTTCGTTGCAGCACAGAATAAAGACGTCAAATGTCGACTACAAAATACCATTGATATTCGAGAGTATTGAAGCAAGTTTGATTTTATCCAGTGAGAGACGGAAAGCAATTATAGATTTTAATCATACAGAAGAAGTTCGGAACCGTGCAGAGTCAGCGCGGCCAAATTTACGAGCCCGTATTGAAAATTGTGTTCCATCAAATGCGTTGAGAAAAATCATCTAATTTTTACTATATTGACCTAAATTTTGTATTTTCCTTTACTAAATATACATCAATAGTGACCGTAGCCTAAAATAAAGCCATAAAAGGATTTCGATTAAGTAATACAATTATTTCTATGTCCTCGCCATCTCTTCTGAAATTTATGATATTAAAAATTTTCCATATCCTAATATTTGTTGAATTCGTTCGCTGTTATTAAGATACTGCTACAACTGCCGTTCATTGGCTGTCATGGTTTCTAGCATCACCCGCTGTTTTTATGGCAGCAACTACGAACAAAATATATGTTCTTCTAGTCCGCATATTTATCTTTTGCTGTTACTCACTTATGTGTCGTGGAAGTGATGTCTTGCAAGATTTTTAGATGATGGTTTTAAAACATTGCAAATGCCTCTCAAATTAATAAATAAGGATCAAACACTAAGTTTTCACGATGCCATAATAATCCCGAAAATAATAACAACATATAACGGCCATGTTATTCAAATGCAATGTTGACAATATTTACATCTATCTGTTGTTTACGAGTACTGATAAAATTATCTGAACACTTCAAGTTAGGAAAATTTATCAATATCGTTATGACGATAGCTAATCAGGTAATATCAGGTAATAGAATTATTTCCTCAAACTCAAATGATTGATGAGGCGCTTCATTTAAGAAACAAGGCAATGGGAAAGAAATTTACTTTTGCGATTGACTCAGGACCAGGGCAGGAAACCGCCTTGAAAAAAAAAAAACAGTAATACCAATTTACTTTCGAATGAAATCAACATCAAAACCGTGAAGCTTTCGTCGTTAAATAGGCAGTCTTTCTTGATATAATTTTCCATCAAACATTTAGACACTTCCCAAACTACCTAATTTAAATCAAAAAGCATACATTCTAATGTGATTTTTGTCTTGTGAAGATAGGAGCAAAGCAAACGCGTTATTCCAGCCTGTGTCGCAACTCGAAATTAGGGGAGAGAATTGCTAGTCCGAGACATTTTTTTATCGTCTGTCCTTACTCTCAATGTCGACGCAATTAGCAGCCGAATTGTGCTTGCCTAACTCAATGCTGGGTAATAAGAAGGGTAAGGATGAGACTGGAAATAAGAAGGGTCGCAGCCACTGTAAAAACGTGACTGGAAATAAGACGGGTCGCAGCCACTGTAAAAACGTGACTGGAAATAAGAAGGGTCGCAGCCACTGTACGAACATGACTAGAAATAAGAAGGGTCGCAGCCACTGTAAAAACATGACTAGAAATAAAAAGGGTCGCAGCCACTGTAAAAACGTGACTGGAAATAAGAAGGGTCGCAGCCACTGTACGAACATGACTAGAAATAAGAAGGTTCGCAGCCACTGCAATAAAATTTCCTTGTAAGAGCTGTATAATTTAAAAGTGTCTCTTACAGTATTGATCGAAGATTTATCTACTAAATCAACAGGAGTTTTTTTTGCAACGGCGTAGCTTATCTACGATCTTTTAATTGTCATTTATAGTGATGACATCTGTTGGCCAGCTCATTTTGTATTAATCTGGATCTTGATGAATCTGCTGTAAATAATTTTATTATCAAAGTGCCTTCAAAATTTGTCAAGATGAGTTCATATTCAACAAAACGATAGCAACAACGATTAGATTGCATAGTATTACTTAAAACTGCGTTTACTTCTGTATATGCAAAGGTAATGTTAGAAATAGAGATGACGTTGAGCGCCGATGTTGACACGTGAATCCAGCACAAAACATGCTTTATTAGCGTTAGAATTTATTTTACAAACCAAACGCAAGCAGTCTAATTTGATCTCAATATGTTAAACACTTTTCCAGTTCAAAATTTGAAGTCAAGTTTCAGTTCAAATAAAAAAGCCTAAAAACGTAGGAAATGTTTTAAACATATTTAAATTAGAAGTAATCGCAGATCTTAAGCTGCGTTTGTTTAACAAATTGCAACATTCAGTTGTCGATAAGAATACTTGCATCTCCTATTAATCATGGTTGTCTAGTAACTTAAACCTTAACTTCCAGAAAAGTTGGATATCTCAGAAAAGTAATAATGAAAAGTTTATAAGAAACTTCAATGCCCGAAAAAATGCCAAAACATCAATCAATAATTCGTTTATGTTAAAACTTATAATTTCCCATCGAAATCTGTTATTCCCTCATAAAAAGTAGGAAGTATGAAGTTTTCTTAAAGTAAAAATGATCAGATTTTCCTTTAGCTATGCGGCTGTTCAAAAATCATGCCTTTACGTCATACCTTCTGATATGGAATTCATCCTCTGTCTTGTGCGGGTATTAAAAAAAACCTAGGCGCTAGTAGATCTGGAAGGGGAAAATTCCTATATCAAATTGGCACCTGGAACCTCAATTTTCAATTTCCTACATTAAATTAATGTCGATTTAAAACTCACAGATGAAGTTTAAACGCTGGATAACGAATGAGAGTCTGAAGTTTTAACGGAAATGCGAGAAAGTTTTGAAAATATCAGAATATATGAAGATTATAAAAATTTTCGACCCAATCATATACCCATTGTAAGTGATGAATCATTATTGCATGGGATCATTGCAGCAAAAATATGTTCATCTCTAAACCAGGCCGCTGCCTGTGACTTGTTCTCTGCTTCAGCCGTACGATGCGCAGCGAGAAAGAATTGACGATAAAATAGAAGAATATGTAAAAAAAGAGTTAACAAGGTAAAACTGAGCAGTGTTTGACTGCCCGTGTTATCAGACGACGATGACGCCACATAAATAAGTCGATTTAGAAGTTATTCATTATTGAGTGATTATTATAATCAGGGAAACCTCCTCATGATAATTACTGAATAATCTAAAGTGACGTTACTCTCGACTAAATTAGAGTTCTTCTTGTGATACGCGGCGCACAACTGGATAGCTCAGAGTCACTATCGTTGCCAATGGTCGGAGTGGTTTGGAGGCGAGTACATGAAAGCCTACAACGATTGGCGACTATTGCCAAAACTGACAAACTTTCATGCATAAACTCCTTAACTATTGAATTTTTTTCTAAAAATATGATATGAGTGTAATTTTCTTCCAGAGTCTCTGTGAATTAGATAAAAGAAACTTTTTCGTCGTTAATTATGACCATTCATAATTTGAGCAGCTTTAATCTCTTGAGACTTCTTACTCTGCACAATTGTTATAGTCTTACCCTATCCGAGCCCAACAGTTAAGGAATGAAAAAACTTATCTTTGTAAATATAAGCATATCTCTTATAAGGGCATACTCCACTCGCTTAATCGCTGGAAAGCGCAACTCTCTCAGCCCTGGAAAACTGAGCAAGCTTCAGTTAGCGCTGCAAATCACAGCAAGCGCCTCGCGCATCTTTCCGACCGCGCTTCCAGGCTTTATTTTTGCCGCGAGTGAAAAGAATTTGCCGACGCCATTTGCTTACTCTGTTACTCTGTTACATGCGCACGGGTCTCCATTTCTTTTGGTTGCATATGCAGTATTCCTATATGTCGTAAATAACATTATTCTGTTTCAATTACGTGGGTTTGAATATATCATGTTTTCCTATGCAGTATTCGTTAGCATCGTAGATTATATTACTCTGTCGCAGTAGCACGGGTTTCAACTTCAGCTTGTATTCCTACGCAGTATTACTTTCTGTTACATAATATTATTCTGTCGCTGTCGTGTGGGTTACATTGTTTTTTTATGCAAAACTTGTTAACGTTGCAAATAACATTTTACTCGGGATGTTTTCACCGTGGAAAATCGGTTCGTTAGTAGCACGGGCAGTTGTAGGGTAATAATGAAATGCTTAAAGTCTGGAAATCAAAAAATTTTGCAACAGTCA